ATTTTGGTAAACTCTGACTTTCGACTTAAAAATTTCAATATCAAGGATTCTGAGTATGAAGTTTTGTCCCGGGAATCTTTCTTTTAGATTAATAGAGACATATCACTTTGTGTTCTAATTTTTGTATTTTTAGGTCTTCATGGCACAATTAAAGGCTTACGAAACTCGCTCATCTTCTCTTTGTTTTGACAGTCATCTGCCGCTTTTTAAGACTCTATACGCTGACATTGTCCTAAAATCACAAACATTACAAATCCTCGAAGCAACTCCCGCACTTAAAAAAATAAGTTTTAACTGTAGAATATTTTTGACACTTGCCTGATGCGCGCCCTTCTTTTATATGCAAGTAACATCACTTAAGGAGATAACCTAAGAATCAAAGTATTCGAACAAGTTTTTTGTAACTTCCCTTGTATTTTCTCCACAAATCACTGCTTCGTACAAAGATATTAGTGACCATTTAAAATTTATCGCCGAGAGGGGCAGGGGAGGGGAGGGGAGGGGGTACCCCTCTTGTATGTCGGAATCAGAATCTGTGCATTCGAAATCATTGGTATCCAGTTCCCACAAGATATCCAACTGCATGTGGAGAATTGTTGTATTATGCGAAAGAATTCTTCGAATAACTGCGGCTTAGGAACTTTTCATTGCCAATTGCGGCGCTTATTCCAGTATATATTGTATATTCTTTATTTCTTATTTCTTCCGATCTTGATTTGCTATTAATTTTTTTTGTTTTATGTTTATTTTGTAAGTTTAAGTCTCGAGGGAAGTAAATTGTTAAATCTTTTTGTTTGGGTTTTTTCCAGTCCCACTTCCACGCGATTTTTACATGTGGTTGAGGTTTTGTTAACAGATTAAAAACCACCATCGTGATCTTTGTCTTGTTTTTATTGACGTTGGGTCGATAATTAACAGGATGCACACGTGCACTTCGATTCTGTAAAAGGTAAAAGTGCGAGTGAAAACTGAGTGTGGATATGCCACGGAGACCTCCAAAGAAAGTCCCCCACCCACCCAGCCCATCTCAACTGGGAAGCATTGAATGCTGAAAAAGCCCAAATTTTAAAACTAAACAAAAAAAAGAGTGCACAGAGAAACTGGAATTTACCTTTTACTTTGATGTGAACTAGTCAAGCATAAACTACAGTTCGTCTCGAGGTTGTACATAACCTCTTGGATTTTACATATAGACCTTTTACACAGATTTTCCAAAAGGTTTCTGAGTGATTTATTACAGCTATTTTCCTCTAGTTTATACCGGAAACATTTGGCGCTGTTCATAACATTTTTATTCTGGTTCAGAGAGCTAAGAAAAATAATGTACTCATATGAAAACTTTGTTTTTTCTCTTGTCTTTGAAAGAACAAAAAATCCGTGCCGAAGAAGTTTAAGTAGCATCTAAAATTGGATAAGGAGAAATATTATTAAATAAGATATATAAAA